GACGTAATACATAGCAGGGTGTGATAAAGATTTTGTAACTGTTACTGATATCGATTACGTAACGTCATACATACAGATTAGGGGTTTGATAAAGCCTTTGCAACCGTGACTGATATCGATATCATCACGGATGGCTGATACAGCACGATTGTCATCAATTGTTTTACACATACAAATTATCTGTATTTACTACTAAGTATATAATAAAAGCTATTCTAATGCAATTTTTACATAACAATTTTTTCATTGGCTTGCATTTACCATCAAATCCACTGTTGACATGTCGTGACTAAGGAGTTAAAATCGGAATAACAGTACTGTAGTTAAAGAGTTGCCGTCGCCAGTAAAACTGCATTTGCGACCATCAAATCACCAATTGACGACGGCAACTCTTCAACTATAGTACTGTTATTCCTTATTTATATTGGCCCTGAAATTGCAAAATTAGTCTAGCCTTTCAAATATATATTCGTTTTTTTTGATAAATGAACAGGTTAGTCAGTATAATCTGGACATTTGTGGGTGATATCAGTCTGATGTCATAAACATGTTGAAATGGACATTTTTGACATATTTCAGATGTCAGAATTGTTGTATATGTGTGGGATATTTGTTAGCATATAAAATTTCCTATTAATTATACTGAAATGTACCAAACGATCAATGTTTATAACATGTTGATCGAAATTATACATCAGAGACTGAGTTAAAGAGTCATTGAATACCTAGATATTTGGAATCGTTGTATTGAAATCTTACGATTAACAAACACGCATTTGCGTTTCCGTTACTCTAACTTTTCAGTGGACCAGATTACAATATACATATATTATTCGATATTTTGAGTACACAGGTTTTGGTGTTTTCATCGTTGTTTCTATTTAAATCACATCCTGATTTTGTTAATAAATTTTGTTTTTTTAAGCATGCAGTGATTGATGCCGATAATGTCATTTTGAAATGCTGGATAAAAACAAGAAAGCACTTCTTAAATGATTTCTGTTCTAGATATGTAAAAATATAAAGAAGCTAAAGTATTTAGGGATAGTAAAAATATATGTGAAAACAATTAAAACGAAAGTGTGATAGACAGTCAAACTCCGAAACAGTGTTAGTTCAGGAAAGCAACGTCGCCACTGTTTCGGAGATAGATACTAGTAAGTAGCATAAGGTTAGATAAACTACTTTTCCATGAAAATATGACTTTAGATTATTTTGCTCAAAGAAACAATAAAATGAACACTGTACTTATGAGATGACAAAATTGAATGCATTTTAAGACAAGTTTTGGTTTTAAGCAGTCTTCAACTGCAAGACATTTAACAAACATAGTTTTCGGTCATAGGTTAAATTTGCAACTTTTGAGTGAATTATCTAATAAAAACTGAACAGTTTTTGGATGAAACTATTGTATAACTTTGTCATACTGATATCATACAACCTTCACCAACTTTGGCTTAAAGTTCACTCTTTAATACATCAATAATTAAGCCTTTTTACATGCACAAAGATAACATATTGAACAACTGAACAAATTAGTTTGAGGTTTTTTTTCTGCTGAATATAAGTGTATGAAGTAAAGAATACAAGCTGTAAACTATTAATCATTGACATCTTGTGATTTAATCCCCATTCGATTAAGCTCCGTTTTGGTTAAAAAGAAAAAAAAAAGAAAAAAAAAGAAAAAAACAGCTAATTCGTTGCAAAAAATAACCGTTAACTCCGGTAAAGGATAAGACATCTTTTTAAAACTTCTCAGTCGACGACTTATTGAACATGGACGTCTTCTTTTTTTAAGGTCATCAAAAGCTGTCAAAAGCAAGTTAAAAATTAGGATTAATAGAAATTAGAAAAAAAATGTGTGCACTAAAATGGTAGATCCTATTAAAACGAAAATATGACTTTCATGAGGTATATCAGTCAAGAATGTCCAAGGTCTGGTGATTCTATTCACTACGGACATGGATAGAGCGATGTCATTTTAAACTATTAAAGTTTCTTCTGTAAAACAAAGGTCGAATAAGCTAGTAAGTAAATCGTTGAAGTATTCTGAAACAAATAAAAAAGGTAGTAGTCCGGCTGATTGGTGCAGATATAAAGAATTGCTCACTTGATGAGGAAAGCATGAGACTTTGCACAGTAGTTCTTGGTTGTATACCCTTTGATTTCAGCTATGGACCCACTCAGAAAAATCCAATATGGCTGTCATTTTCAAGATGGCGGAAAAACGTTATAAATATCACGATTGTCCGCAAGGTATTCTATATAATTTCGGAAATTAAAGTAATGATTATTTAAAAATGGTCTTCATGTTCTTGAATTTGTTATCAATTTATTTAAAATATAAATAAAATATTTTGGTTATTTCTAGAACGCATTCATTTGCAAATATGGCTGCATATACAAAAACAAATAGTGAAAATCAAAATGTTAATCAATATGTAACATGTTATTGTAATTGTTCTTTAATCGCTTTCAGTTTTAATGGTTGGAATGAAAAAGGTTGAAGTGAGTCGATTGAACGTTGATATAGGTCGGTTAAATGTGGTGGCATATTAGGTAACTTATCTGAACTTTGAGGCAGTGCCGAGGGCACCTTGTCTCGTGTCTCTTCAATGCCACGTCATACGTCACTTATCGGGTTTTCATCTGACGTACCCATTATATCGTCAAATTATTCTATGTAACCAATATGTATACCTTTCTTCAGGCGGATGTGACGATTGCCATCATTTAAAATGATTAAGGGACAACTATTTCCTTTTCCAACTACGTGCAAAACCAATACGCAACTAGTCAGCGGCCATGGTTCTAAAATGAACTCCTGGTCAGCACTTTTATTAGTTTTAATGGTAACAGTCATTTCAGAGTTTGGCGGAACTGTGATGGTTCGTTTTATGCAAACTTGCTAAATTGAAATCTCACCTCCACTGTTAACAAATGCCGCATTTATCACTTTGTTGTTGATGGTAAGTGTGGGAGTACTCAGATTTATCACTGCGCCCAGTGTGTCCAAAATATCTAGCCCAAGTATAACATCGTCTGTTAACGGCGCTTTGCACACATCCCATTAAATGTTTACTCTATCAATGTCGAGAGAGGTGTTCTTTATAATCTTCCCAGGAACCAGCTGTTCACCCAAACCACGTAGCGTTACGGTCTCCGAATCTTCATTATCTGCTGGAATTAATTTCTCATTCACTAATGTTATCATTGCAGCAGTGTCCACAATCATGCTCACATTCTGGTCATATATAGTACCTCGTACTGCTAGGCTTTTCCCAATGGTTCGTCTGATGACAATATCAGACGAGGACGTGGGCCTCTGTTCGGTTTTGTCATGAGGTGATGTTTCATGGCCAATAGACTTGGGTGTCGA